GCCAGCGAAGCGTTCAAGGATCGGCTAGCCAGCAGCAATCCTGTTTAGGATGATACTGACGTTGAAGAACAGCCATTTTTCGCGAGTCATTATGTAGGCCGCAAACCTTTTCACATGATTATGCGATCCTTAATGGAAGCCTAATAACTGGCTCATCCCGCTGAAGAAGTGACCACGCTGTCCGCTTGAAGGCAAAGTTCGGGCTCAGGCCCACTTTGTGAGCCTTTACTGTTGCTAGAAGCGCTGGGTGCGCAAGTGCAGAGGTTGAGGTCTGCAGGGTAGAGCAAAAGGCTCGTATTTCCTGTGTATTTCACAATTTTTTTCCTTTTTTCTCCACTGGCGGTCCACCTCCTACCCCTACTTTCACATTTGAGTGGAATACCTCATCAATTTATCCCTGAATCTTGCCTTTAATCCTTTACCCGTTGTTGTATATTTATGCGATTGCTTGGTGCACGCGTAGGTGCGTTACTTCAGATCCATAATTTAAAAAATACAGAAAAAAACTTGATCGACCCAACTCAAAAGGAAAAAAGCACCTTATAAACCAAAAACTAAAGTTGTTCTCGAACTTCAGCTGAATTGTTCAGCAGACTACCTTATCCATCACTGGTTTCCCCTTCTGTTTTTACAGGACATCAACAGCGAACACGTCCAAAAGAGGTAAGCAAACCAGCCCTTTTGGCGTTTCTGCTGGGGCCGTATGCTGAATGTTGGGGAGGGGATGGGGTCCCCGAGGTCGACGGACTACTTGAACTCGGTCGGTACGGTAGGAGAGTGATGACGAAGTGGTGCAGCTAGGTCCAGCAGCTTGCTTACCCCAGGACTAAGCCTTGGAGAGAGGACGGACCTGCGCTCGTCCTCTCTTTAAGGCTTAGTCCTGAGGTAAGCATCAAATTGAGGCGGTTTAAGGACCGAGTTGAAGTAGTCCGTCGACCGTCGGGGACCCATCCCCTCCCCAACATTCAGCATACGGCCCCAGCAGAAACGCCAAAAGGGCTGGTTTGCTTACTTCCGTCCAAAAGGGAGCGCTCCATAGTAACGTTCCAATTTCCCCTATCTGGCGACGGGAAATGACATCGACGTGTTTTGGCAATAGCCCTTTGTTTCTCTCACTCTCATTTGGTCTCTAAAAGTGCAAGAGCGAGCATAAACTATGCCAATAGCTCGTTAAACTTACACCGTCCTTTCATTGTTGGAACTGACTTCCTTATGCTTTCTTCCCTCACTGGCAATTCCGTGGTAATGCCAGCCTCACTGAATCTCCGTAAGTGGAGTTGTCGGAGGAAAAGCGCAATTTTAGTCTTCGCCGCCGCCATAATCACTTCCTCCCGCTCGCATTTGAGTTCTTTGTTCTGCGGCCGCCTTCAAAGCCACCGCTCTCTGCTCTCGATTCCAACCAGGATGGTTCAGGGATTTCATCAACTATGAGAAAGCTTTGTAATGGTTTTGAAAAGCACCCCAAACGTCTGATCATAAGAGGCCGACAGTGAGATTGAAAGGTTATGCAGTGCAGAAAAATGCAGGAATCGCTGGATTTCTCACTTATCTTACAGCGCCACATGCATATTGAAGGGGAAGTTTACGATCACAAGGCAGCCCAATGGAATCAAGGTGAAGATGGTCAGTGGTGCAGAATGAAGAAAAATCCACGAGAAACGGTTCAAAACCCCAGAAGTGGGACCCCTTCCTTGTCCGCACTGTGCTCACATCGGTGATGCCTAGCCCCGCGGGGAGGCCATGCTAGATCGCCGGGGGCATATCCTTCGCTGCGAATTGCGTGTCGGTCCGCACCCTTGAAGGGTCCGCTATCTTTCCACTAGGTAAGCTTCCCCTTCTTCGACCTTCGACCTTATAGTGGCATCCTCCTTCATCCACTTTACTGAAAGTGCGTTACACTGAAAAGTTCTCAAACTTTGACTTTCCTTTTTTGAAGACACAGCTCTTCTAAGTAAAGATTTCCGAAATTAGAAAGTATCGTATCGTCGTCTCAATTCTATATTGACTGCGTAAACTTGGCTTGGCTTAAATGAATTTGGTGGCATCTTGATGGAAACCCATAGCTGAGCGTTTTGACCGTAACTGTTTGTCGGACATAAGACTTCGGTAAAAAGTGCCCACTATGCGCTGCCAACACTGTCTAAGGAGTTGGTAGGCTTGAGTTATGACTCACCAGGAAAGGCATTCAACTTCCCATGGAACTTTGAGATGAGACCCAGATATATCGATAGAGCTTCAAACGCTGATTACAAATATGGAAACTAAAACTGCAAAATGAACCTGCCAAGGAAGTTGTGAGCAGTCAAAGTTGGCTGGAAGTAAAGCATTACACTAGCCTCCGGGCTTTCAGAGCCTCCGCGGAGCAGTGGTGGTGCCCTCGCTATTCACCCTGGGGTCATAAGCTCTCCTCCCGTCGGAGCGCAAATTCCGAGAGCACTACCACTACTCCAAGGCGACTTTGAAAGCCCGGAGGCTAGTGTAATGCTTTACTTCCAGCCAACTTTGACTGCTCACAACTTCCTTGGCAGGTTCATTTTGCAGTTTTAGTTTCCATATTTGTAATCAGCGTTTGAAGCTCTATCGATATATCTGGGTCTCATCTCAAAGTTCCATGGGAAGTTGAATGCCTTTCCTGGTTAGTCAGCAATGTGTAGCAATATAGTGAGTGGGTGCCATTTTTCGCTACCCCAAATTTGCAAATATATGTTAGTGCTGTTATTTAATACTTTCAGCTCGCCAACGGCCTTTAGCCGTGGCATCGTAGAATGGCCAAGCCCTGTTTTTTTAGATCCTCCAACTAAACAATACCGCGGATGCCTGCAGCCCAGCGCGAACAGTCACATTATCTGCGAAGCCGCCAGCAAAGGCGGTCGAGTTTCGTCTCGGGCGCTTTCCTGCAAGGAAATCGTCCACAATGCCACCATCGACGGCGTATATTTCACGTGAGAAGGAACGGGAAAGTGAGCAGAAGCAGGCGGAAGCCGTTGAAGAAGTTTGTTTGGACTTCATTGAATTTTTTGTAGCTAATCGGTTTTGAAATGATTACTACTGGATTCCCTACGGCTTAATCGGTAGATAAGCAGAGCAGTATTTGGTTTAGGTGGATCCGATACTGATGTTCGAATTCACATCGTGGCGTGATGCCGGTCATCCCTTGGCTCATCATCCATTCATGGATCGTGTTAGTACCGAAGAGATTGCGCCATGTATGCTGTTCAGTGCGAAAGAGGTACGTTGAAGTGACTGAATTCGTCGTAGCCTCCTTACATGCACTCAAATGTCATAGTGGCGAAGCACAAATCGTTATTGACTCCAGTAAAGAGTCATGTATAGTGGGAGGAATTGGTCGTATTTTGAGATCAGTCAAGGTTGAGCATGGCGTCGGGAAAAATATTCTGATACGACCCTCCCTGTTTCGATACCTTTCTTCCACTTCCGAAGAGCACCGACAACTCGGTAGTCGAAGGGTGCATACACAGTGGAGTAGCAAGTCCTGAATAAATTCCTACTTCTTTGGAAATGCTCCAGAATGCTAAAGGGAATGTGAAGGCAATGCTTCTTCAAGCCATTCCAAGCCTAGCCTTCAGAGTGTGCAAGGGCGATTAGGTTCTTATCATAGAGAGCTAGCGCGCACTAGAGGATTACATAGGTAGCCTAGTACGTCTCATGGTCCCGTTTAGTATCGTGCTTGTCCTGAGTTTTTGTCAGACTGGGCTGCGAGTTTTATAAGTATAGATGACCATGCAGTTTGGTGCTCAACGTGATGATTTTTTACACATTCTCTAATTTGCGAGATCACTGCATTTCTGGATCTTCTACTTCGTTTTTTTTTCAGCTATCTGACGCGATTTTCGATTCCATAGCTGCGAACAAGCTGGAGCTGGAGCCGGTACATGAAGACAAACCACATATCATGTGAGTTACAGTGGTAAAATTATTGCTTCACAATCCCCAAGTACATGCACAATTTTTAGTTGCTAACGAAAGTTGAGAGTAGTTGTAATTATCATCAGTATATCGTTTATAGAGAGTGAGCACAAATCAGGACAACTCGAAAAAATACTCGGAAATCTGAAAAATAATTCTTGATCTCGAATTCTGACCTTAAGGCAAACCCCGGGATTAGCCCGACTAGTAGGAAGGATACCGCGAGGGAAATTGTAAGACCCGTACCTACCTAGATCACTTCAACTTGGTCGCGAAAATCGCGCGGTTAGGGCGCTAATCCTTACGGGCCTCCAACCATCGAACGCTTCCCACCCACCGCGAGATGTGGTGAGATCAGCGTGCATTGATGTAGAGATCAGCGTGCTCTCTCAAACGACGTTCTCTCTCGCGTGTTTTGACCTCTCTGATCGCCCTGTCTTGCCATCGTACCACAT